TACCACGACTACTATTACTATTTCTACTACTACTCCTACTGTTGCTGCTGCTGCCGCCTAGTAGTAGCACGCTGGCATCATTATTCCCAGCACAACTATTACCACTGCCACGGCTACTACAACTACGACTACTACCTTCACTACTACGGCAACTACAATATCCACGACTACTGCTACTACGACTACGATTGCTACTATTCCCACCCCTCTGCTACTAGTATTACGGGTACTACGATTACGGCCACCACTACTCTACTATTACGGTTGCTACTACTACTACTACCACTATTACCCTTATTGAATCGCTTCGCTCATTCCGCCGGCCCGTGATATGGCATCGCTGGTTTTTGTCTGTGTGTTCGTTGCCCATGTTGCGCTCTTGGGGGCGGGTGTCGTTCGGACGCGTTGCGTGGGGAGTTTTGATGGTGAAGCAGTTCCCTGGGGGTCGTCTCTCGATGGGGCGAAATAGAGTCGTCGTCAAGATGCTTCTTTGGGGGGCCTCTTGGGGTCTGTTGAGAGGCCGTTCGGGGGCGCCTGGGAGACATGTTTGAAGCCTTCTGGGGCTTCTTTTGGGCCTCCTGGGAGTCTCCTGGGGCCTCTTGGCGACATCTTGGGGCCTCTTGGAGGCCTCTTGGGGCCTCTTTGGGACCTCCTGGGCGCCTTCTGGGACGGAGGGCTCCATTTTTGAGTTCTCGGTATCCCTCCTGAGTCCCTCTTGGGCCCGTCTTGGGGCCTCTTGGTCCGTCTTGGGCGGCACTTGGGCCGTCTTGAGGGCTCTCTTGGGTCGTTTCGGCGCCGTCTTGGGAGCTTCGTGGGCCGTCTTGGAGCGGTCTTGGGGGCCTCTTGGGCCGTCTTGGAGCGTCCGGAAGCCGAAAAAGCCAGAACACAAAAAACATAGAAAAAACCAATGAAAATCAACGATTTTGGCCTCTTGGGGCTCTCTTCGGAGGCCTCTTGGAAGGCTCTTGGGGCGTCTTGGAGGCCTCTTGGGCTGTCTTGGGGGCCTTTTGGGCCGTCTTGGGGTCATCTTCGGCGTCTTCGAGCGCTCTTTGGGCGTCTCGGGGGCCTCTTGGGCAGTCTTGGGGGCCTCTTGGGGCACTCTGAGCGCGCTCTGGGGAGCCTGAGAGGCCGCACCCAGAAGGAAAACCATCTCTGAGTAGACTTGGTCGGGCGGCGGTCGGGCGGCGGTCGGGCGGCGACCGGGCGGCGACCGGGCGTTGGTCGGGGTACTTTTCGCCGGGGGACCCCCAGGGGCCGCCCCGCGCGCGCGAACTAGAAATACTGTTAATACTGTTAACCAGTTACCGGAGATCTTAGCACGCCCTGGCCCGTTGGGCCGGCGAATTACTACGATTACTACTACTTTTACAACTACTACTATTACTACTACGACGTCTCAGAATACCGCTAGTACTAGTACGACCACTACTACCATTACCATTACTAATACTATTGCCACTATTGTTACCACAACTACTACGGCGACTTCTTCTAGCACTACCACTACTAGTCGTACGGTTTCTCCTACCACGGCTACGGCGACTAGTACTAGTCTTACTACAGCTGCGACTACAGTTAATGTTACTACGAATACTCATATCACTACTACTACTACTACTACTACTACTCTTACTCCTACTACTACGACTACGACTACTACTGTTGTAACCACTACGGCCTTTACGGTTACTACTACTACTGCTATTACTAGTGTTATTGTTACCACCCGTAGTACTACTACGACTACTACTACTTCTACCGTTCCTGTTGCTACTACTACTACTACTACGATTACTACGAGCACTCCTGCTTTATTATCTCTAATACCACTACTACAACATAGTACGACTATAGCTACTACTGTAGTACTACTACCACTACTTTCACTTCTAGTACTACTACTATTACTACAGTTTCTACTACTAGAACTACTACTACTACTACTGCTACTACTATTACTACTACTACTACTACTACTACTACTACTATTACTACGACTACTACTACTACTACTACTACTACCACTACTACTACTACTACTACTACTACTATTGGTATTACTACCACTACTACTACTACTACTACTACTACTATTACGACTACTACTATTACTACTGCTAGTATTAGTAGTAGTAGTACTACTACTACTACTGCTACTACTACTACTACTACTACTACTACCACTAGCACTACTAGTTTTTACAACAACTGCCACTACTACTACTTCTACTATTGCTACTACTACTAAGACGGCGACGACGACGACCACGACGACGACGACGACGACGACGACTACTACTACTACTACTACGAATACGACTACTACTACTGTTATTACTACTACTACTACTACTGCTACTACTACGACTACTACGACTTCTACTACTGATACTACTACTACTACTACTACTACTACTACTACTACTACCACTATCACTACTACTATTACTACTACCACTACTACTACTACTACTAGTACTACTAGTAGTACTACTACTACTACTACTACTACGACTACTATTATTGCAACTACGACTGCTACTATTACTACTACTACTACTATTACTACTACTTCTACTACTACTACTACTGCTACTACGACGACGGCGACTACTACGATCGCTACTGCTAAGACGTTCATTACCACTACTGCTCGTAGTATCACGATCTTTTTACGACTGCCACTATCACTACTACTGCTACCCATTACGGTTTCTACGGCTGCTACTACTACTATTATTTGTATCAATATACCTACTACTACGACTAGTATTACTACTACGATTACTATTACCTCTACTACTACGACTACTACTACTACTACTACTACTACTACTACTACTACTATTACTACTACTACTACTACTACTACTGCTACTACGAGTACTACAACTACTATTATTACTACTATTATGCCTACTTCTACTACTACTCCCACTACTACTACTACTACTACGACTACTACTTCTACTACTATTACTACTACTACTACTACTACTACTACTACTACTACTACTACTATTACTACTACTACTACTACTTACTACTACTACTACTACTACTACTACTACTACTACTACTACTACTAACTATCTACTACTACGACTACTACTACTACTACTACTACTACTACTACTACTACTACTACTACTACTACTACTACTACTACTACTACTACTACTACTACTACTACTACTACTACTACTACTACTACTACTACTACTACTACTACTACTACTAAGACTACTACTACTACTACTACTACTACTACTACTACTGCTACTGCTACTACTACTACTTCTACATCTTGTTACCAGGTCAGGCACAACCGAGTTCGCGCTTGACCTGCCATCCCGCTTGCTGCGCAGATGCGCTGCGGCGATGGCGACGCGTAGTGCCCTGCCCCGTTCTCCAAGCCAACGTTGAATGACGAAGTGTTTGGTTCTGGGGTTCCGAGGCGCGCCTCGAGGGGCCTCGGGATTTTGCGTGCATGTTTTCTGTGTGCTGTCTCGTCCACAGGGATGGAGCGTCGCCCTCATGAGTTTCGAGACTCGCCTCGATGAGCTTCCTGACCATATGTGACGAAAGTGGCTTCCGTGGATAAATCCTGACACTGGTGGTGGGTTTCGGGGTTCTGAGGAAATCGCTCGTATATTCGCCGTATGACGTCCGCACCGTATGCTGTGGCGGAGATGGTGGGTCGCGAGGATGTTGGGGGATTAGCCTCGGCTTCGGGAGCATCGTCAGGGTCGATGGTCTTCGGGGCCTGCTGTAGGGGAGAATGTTTGCAGTCGTCGGTTTTGGTGTGAAGGCTTCTGTCGCCTCTGTCGGTTTTGTCACAGAAGTCGGCTTCGGCTAGCCGGCGACTTCTGTATCCGCACCGTGTTGTGTGACGGTGATGGTGGGCCTTAGGGGCCGGTGGAGGCAGGCCGCGAGGGGCTCCGGGATCGTCGTCGCGCGTCGGCCACACCGCGCCCGTCTACTACGGTGTGTAGAGGAGACCAGGGGGGCGGTACACGCCTGGAGACCCCCCGTGCGGGTCGTGGGCGACGGCAGGGGATGCCTATAGGGACGTCGAGGGCTCAGGCGACGGCCTCTTGAAACGACAGGACCGTTCGAGGTTCGAGGTTCGAGGTCGAGGGTCGAGGTTCGAGGGTCGAGGGTTCGAGGGTCGAGGGTCGAGGTTCGAGGGTCGAGGTTCGAGGTTCGTGGTTGTAGCAAGAGGTGGCTGTATGCCCAAATGGCCAGTTCAATTTGCAGGTAGCAGGCGTGTGTGATGACAGATACGAGTGGTTCCACCGCCACGCCCAGTATTGCTGAAGGCACTGTCCTTGGCACTTCTGCTTGCTACTCCTTCGAGAACCTTGACTGGTGATTCTATCGTCGCTGCTGGTGTTTCTTATGCCTTTCGTTGCTCGTTGCGGTGCGTTTTGGCATGTTTGACTTGGCGGTCAAGGTTCACATCGCGCTGCCGTCGAGAAGTTTGGGCTTGAGTTCGCTCTTCCGAGCGCCATGCAGCAAACGTCTGCGCTGAATAGATACGCGCCTCAAATATTGCACCACGTATCTTGCGCCCCACATATTGCACCAAATGCCTTTTCACTACACAAGTTGCACTACATAGATAGCACCACAAATCCTACGGCACATATTTCACCCCCCCACAAGGTGCATCGCCCCGATTGCACCACGTTAGTTGCACCCCGCGCCAATTGGCAATCATATAGTCATCATTTGGAACGACCCCACTGCTCTTGACCCAAAAGTGGTGAAGTGGCGACGTTTCATTATATGATTGTCGCCCGGGCTATTGAAAATTATGGCTGTCGATGTGATAAGACCGTCGCAGGGATGGGGGGGGCGTTTTTTTTCAGCATCGACGTATCGCGAGCACAGTTCATGGCGCGGAGCTTGACAATTCGAACAATCTCACGGATGGGCGGAGACACAATCGTGTTCTCGTGCGGTGTTGCCCTTCATTCTTTTGGAAATGTCCACCAGTTGCACAGATTGAGGCGATGATCTCCGAAGTGTGTTGAATTTGGGCACGGTTTGCAGTCGAGGTCCGATGTGTTCGTCGATTCGAATTGTGCGACTGTCTAGGCCCATTCCATTGATGTTGTGTTAGCTCACGTGGCAGAACCAAGTGTTACTTGATCCGCCTGTTCTGCCCCCGACCCTCTGGTGCGGCCCCCAAGAGTATCACCGATCCAGCCCATCGAGGTCTCGAACCGGCGGCACGCAGTCAGGACGCTCAGCGGTGAAAATATATTGCCCGCTTCGATGTACGAGGAGGGGATTGGGGACCCTGTTCAATATTCCAGTATTAGTGATGGGTGCTGGGTTTCCTCCGACTCTTTCCCATCATCTCCCCTCTCCCCCTCTGCTCCTGCCGAGGGGTGCTGCCTCGGCGCCGGCTGGTTCAGTGCGCCGCGCATCCAGAGGGCACGGCCGACCTCCCAGCGGCCGGCACCGGAAGCTGGAGGTCGTTGGAAAGTGGCTGCTGCAGGTCAGGCTGGAGGCAGGGGGGGCAGAGCCGGCCCTGAGAGCTTCACGCCGGCCGGGCCACCGTGCCCTGGCCTTGCCCCAGAGCGCAGGTCTGGACGCGCGAAATGGGTACGGAAAGAATGGGTACAATGCCCAACAGCAGTTCCTGTTCATTTTGAACAGGATTCGCTGTCCACGCTGCCGCGGCCTGTGTCCATTCGAGACAGGGCCGCCTGCCCAACAGCGGCCGCTGTTGGATTGGGACAACATTTGTTCTTGGGCATTGTACCCATTCTTTCCGTACCAATTTCGGGCGTCCAAAGCAGGCACGAGCAGACCGTCAGAGCACCATCTCCTGCCCAGCCTCCTCGGTTTCGAGAAGCAGCGCGCGTGCCCTGTCCTCTGCGACACGGGCACCCAGTTCTACGTGACCATAGAGGAAGGGAGAAGGAGAAGGAGTGGATGAGGAGGAGAAGCAGGCAGGAGGAGGAGGAGGGAAGCGGTGGTGGGTGGAGTAGCAGGAGGACCACGAAGGACTGCCTGCGCGACTGCAACCGGCTCGTCAAACTCTTCGACGGCACGGATGGGCCGCGCCCAGGCACGACCATCCACGGTGAGGCCCCATTGGTCCCAACTTTGTCCTCAGTCAAAGGGGGCATGGTGGACAAGGTGAGATAAAACAGTAGTTCTAAGAGCATTGTGCAAACTGTACATATTTGAATTAGATGGCACTGAGCGGGTCGCCCCGTCACCTCCCACATTCTAAGATAGGTGTTTGCACGGAGAGATTGTCAAAGGCTCGCAATGTTTGAAACTATTTGTAGACATGGGTCCACATAACTATTGTGGGGTATGCCTTCGAGGGCGCTTAGCACGTTGGTGTCCCCTCATCCTCAGTTGGGAAGTTGACGTTGGGCAGTGATGGTGGCTTGTCGTGTTGTTGTGGTTCCATGTGTTGGGCGACGCGCCACCGCGCCACACCATGGAAACATACACACAGCGGAGGACTGTGTCCGGGGGCCCCCATGCCAGAACCCTAAGCACAAATGAGTGGATTGGGGTTCCCTGCGCACATTTCGGGAGCCCCAAATTGACGCCGAGGGCGATCAGACAGCCGTCACGACGTTTCCACGGCGGCCTCGAGTTGTCCCAAGACGGCCTCCAGACGTTTCAGAATGCTCATTCGGCACCTCCAGCGGCCCAAATTGCCTCCAAGACGCCCCGAGAGTGCTTCATGAGGCCCTCCAAGATGGTTCCTGGAAGCTCAAACCATGCATTCCCCTTTGAGGTTATGAAGGTTTGGGGGGTTCTCGTCTTTTCGGGCGCCCGACGGCCCAAGAGGGGTCAGGAGGCGCAACAAGTCGCCCAAAGACGGCCCAAGACGCCCCCCAAAAAAAACCCAAGAAGGCCCAGACATACCCCAAGAGAGCCTGAAGAGCACCTCAGGAGGTCCACAAGACAGCTACAAGGCGGCAAAAGCACCCACAGACGGCCCAGAAGGTCCCCAGGAAGGCCCAAGAAAGCTTCAAGAGGAGCCCCAACAGGCCCCGAGGAGGCCAACAACATGGACTCCCCCTCACCTGTTGGTTTTATGTAAGATGTTCGCCGTTCGGGCTTCCCAGGTCTCGCCTTTGCGGGCTTCTGACGGCCAGAGACGGCCGAAGAGGTTTACAACATCGCCCCACGTCGGCCAGAGAGGCCCCCAAGAGACCCCCTAAGACGCCCCAAGAGAGCCCCAAGAAGGCGCAAGAGGGCCCCAAGAGGACCCCACGCGGGCTCAAGAGTGCGTCAGGAGAGCCCTCAGGCGGCCCAAGGTACCCACGACGGCCCAACAGGGTCACAGGACGGCCCAAGAGGGCCACGAGACGGCCGAATATCGTTGCAGGTGGACGCCCAAGAGGCCCAATAGAGGCCCCAACATGCCCCAAAGGGGTGTCACATTTGCTTCCAGAAGGCTGGCCAGAGGCGTTTCAACAGCTCCCAACAGGCATCCCAGCGGTCTCTGGCCAAGAG